TTTGATCTTCGATCTCAGTATGGTTAGCGGCTTGCTAAAAACTGAGTCATATTGGGACTTGAGTAGCTCACTCATTTCCTTGCTGTCATCTGTGTAGGACCCATCTTGTTTAAGTAGGGGCCCAATACTGGACGTTGTTCTCGATTTTGATTTGGCATAGGAGAAGAAATACTTTGGGTTTCTTTCGATTTCATTTATGGCTTTTAGATGTAATATATACAGACTTTGCAAAAGCCTTCGACAAGTGTGACCATGGCGTAATAGCGCACAAAATGCGTGCTAAAGGAATAACAGGAAAAGTCGGTCGATGGATCTATAATTTCCTCACTAACAGAACACAGAGAGTAGTCGTCAACAGAGTAAAGTCCGAGGCAGCTACGGTGAAAAGCTCTGTTCCACAAGGCACAGTACTCGCTCCCATCTTGTTCCTCATCCTCATATCCGACATAGACAAGGATGTCAGCCACAGCACCGTGTCTTCCTTTGCAGATGACACCCGAATCTGCATGACAGTGTCTTGCATTGCAGACATTGCAAGGCTCCAGGCGGACATCAACCAAATCTTTCAGTGGGCTGCAGAAAACAATATGAAGTTCAACGATGAGAAATTTCAATTACTCAGATATGGTAAACACGAGGAAATTAAATCTTCATCAGAGTACAAAACAAATTCTGGCCAGAAAATAGAGCGAAACACCAACGTCAAAGACCTGGGAGTGATTATGTCGGAGGATCTCACCTTCAAGGACCATAACATTGTATCAATCGCATCTGCTAGAAAAATGACAGGATGGATAATGAGAACCTTCAAAACTAGGGAGGCCAAGCCCATGATGACACTCTTCAGGTCACTTGTTCTTTCTAGGCTGGAATATTGCTGCACACTAACAGCACCTTTCAAGGCAGGTGAAATTGCTGACCTAGAAAATGTACAGAGAACCTTCACGGCGCGCATAACGGAGATAAAACACCTCAATTACTGGGAGCGCTTGAGGTTCCTAAACCTGTATTCCCTGGAACGCAGGAGGGAGAGATACATGATTATATACACCTGGAAAATCCTAGAGGGACTAGTACCGAACTTGCACACGAAAATCACTCACTACGAAAGCAAAAGACTTGGCAGACAATGCACCATCCCCCCAATGAAAAGCAGGGGTGTCACTAGCACGTTAAGAGACCATACAATAAGTGTCAGGGGCCCGAGACTGTTCAACTGCCTCCCAGCACACATAAGGGGGATTACCAACAGACCCCTGGCAGTCTTCAAGCTGGCACTGGACAAGCACCTAAAGTCAGTTCCTGATCAGCCGGGCTGTGGCTCGTACGTTGGTTTGCGTGCAGCCAGCAGCAACAGCCTGGTTGATCAGGCTCTGATCCACCATGAGGCCTGGTCACAGACCGGGCCGCGGGGGCGTTGACCCCCGGAACTCCCTCCAGGTAAACTCCAGGTACACACTACACAGTGTATATGCACTGATATACACACCTCACAGTGTATATACACTGATATACACACTACACAGTGTATATACACTGATATACACACTACACAGTGTATATACACTGATATACACACCTCACAGTGTATATACACTGTATACACACTACACAGTGTATATACACTGATATACACACTACACAGTGTATATACACTGATATACACACCTCACAGTGTATATACACTGATATACACACTACACAGTGTATATACACTGATATACACACTACACAGTGTATATACACTGATATACACAGTGTATATACACTGATATACACAGTGTATAGAACGATAAAAAAAATCAGAATCTTTTATTAAATCTCTAATAATTTAGTTCTAAAAAATATTAAATTTCCACGAGGATAATTTTTTCAAATTATTTTCAAACTGTGTTGAAATTATTCATAATTTATCGAATTAATTACGGCGGAATTATTAATTAAATTCCTTGATTAATGGAGGTAATTTTGACGCTCTTGTAATATATTTATAATTATTATTATTATTATTATTATTATTATTTTATTATTATTATTATTATTATTATTATTATTATTATTATTATTATTATTAATTATTATTTTTTATAATTTCCAGCTGATTTAACCTCATAGAATAATCCACTAATGCTCAGGTACCTACTTACTGCTAGGTGAAGGGTAAATAGGTGTGAAGTGCCTTGTCCATACATGTCATCCTGCAGGGAATCGAATCCAGGTCCTTTCGATTGTGATTTCTGCGGTAATAAGACTTTCTTGGATCTGCCAATCATGGGCCAGTAGGCCTGCCGCAGTGCTACTTCTTTCTTATGTTCTTATAGATATATATATACTCTATGTTGATTTACTGGACTATGATTGCTGGAGCCGTATAAACCCTTATTTATGTTTGTTTTTGTTGTTAATTTATAGGGCTATGACGTCCTGTGCCGTATGAACCCTTAATTATATATTTTTTGTTGTTGATTTACATTATAGGGCTATGATGTTTTGAGCCGTATAAACCCTTACTTGCCGTGTGAACCCTTACCTTTGTCTTTTGTTTACAGATGCGGCGTTCACCATATTCTCCACTGGACCCGAACCCTCGGCGAGCATCATACTTTCCACTGGACCAAAACCCACCACCCACCATGGACTGTGAGGGCCAGCCCGGGGACGCTTTATTGAGCCCTGAGGAAGAGTCGGATATTCCTACTTGGGCCACTTTAAGGGCCAAGATCCTCTCTTTCACCAGAGGTCGCTGTAAAAGTCCCATTCTCAAAAGTCCTGGTAGTCGGAGTCCCACTTGTCGGAGCCCGACAGCTAGAAGCCCAGTTTCTCGAAGTCCAACTACCCGAAGTCCAGTTTCTAGGAGCCCAACAACATGCAGGAGCCCAGTTAGTAAGAGTCCAATCTGTAGGTCCCCATCCAGTCGTTCTCCGACCTCCCAGTCCCCTAACCGCTCTCCTACCAACAAGTCACCGCCTCTCAAGTCCCCTACACAACGCTGGGCACCTTCCTTGGCCCTCAGCAAAAGAAGTTCCTTTTCCCGTGGATCATCTCGCGAGTCTCGTGGATCTCGCGAGTCCCCCACAGGTGTGGTAGACTTCCTGGAGAACCAGCCAGCCCGTCGTAACTCAGGATCTAAAGTCAAGCGCTGCTTAAAGAAAGCTTTCAGTCTTAATCTAGGAGAGGAGGAAGAGGATGGTGTGGATGTTGAAAGCCCAGTTGGTGCTCCAGGGGCTTCCGGAGGCCGGAAAGTGAAGCTCAAAATACGGTCGTCGCCAGTGGAACAGGTTATGGAAATGACTCAGTGGGAGGAAGAGGATGAGGAACGAGCCGCTGCCGGTGCAAGACGCCCACGTAAATCATCGTATCACGGTTCAACAACTCCCACATCACCGGTGGAAGCACCTAAGCGGCACTCATTCAGTACGGCGTCGGATCGCGCTGGCATCGTAGTTACTAACAATGATCTGGTGTCGTTGTTAGGAACTACCCACCGTCTCACTCCCCCTGGGTTACCAGTACCTGTAGATGCCCCTCCAGTGCCCCCTGATTTACCCAATCCTCGTGCCAGGGGACGCTCTCAGAGCATAGCAGCTTGCTGGGATAACCAGAAAAATTCAACAGGGGATGGTCAGGCAGAGGACAACGGACCTCAAGTCCCCATAACAATTAGAAGAACTGATTGTGATTACATAGCGTTGCCTCTTTTAGCTCAGAGTTCCTCGACTCTTGAAGCTCCAGAAGAGGAAGATGAAGAGGATAAAGAGGGGGAAGACCAGGAGAGTAAATTGCTGTGGGATTCCTCTGGTTCCACTATTGACGCTGGTTTGTTGGGGTCTGTTATAGAGCAATATCTCAAGACCTCTAAGGAAGATGACGTCGGGGAAGTGTCCTCTGCCCTCACTGGTTTACAGGTCAAGTGACGTCCAACCCGTGCTCACCCATACCAGGTCACTGCAGTGCCACATCGGACTACCGGGTCAGATCAGGTGCCACAGATTTCCCTATCCAGACGATCGTCTGTATCTGATCCAGGCTGCCTCGCGCCGATCATCCATATCTGACCAGGGTTCTGCCATGTCTCATCGCGTGTCATCAACCGAACATTGTCTACAGGTCAACTCCCTAACGCGCCGATTTTCCGGATCTGACCAGCACCTCCAGGTCACCTCCTCCAGGCGTTCCTCAGGACTGGAGCCTTACCCCCACACCAACTCACTCTTACGTCGTTGTTCCATATCCGACCAACACTTACAAGTCAACTCCTTCTCGCGTCGATCCTCGGCCTCGGATCAGCACCTACAGGTCACTTCATTTTCACGTCGATCTTCAACCTCAGATCACTACTCCCATACTACCTCTCTATCACGCCGGTCTTCCGCTGCCTCGGATCAATACCCTTATACTGCCTTATCATGTCGCTCCTCTATAGCGTCGGATCAATACCCATATACCAGCCTATCACGCAGATCCTCAGCTGCGTCGGATCAATATCCATATACCAGCCTATCACGCAGATCCTCAGCTGCTTCGGATCAATACCCATATACCAGCCTATCACGCAGATCCTCAGCTGCGTCGGATCAATACCCATATACAACCTTATCCCGCAGATCCTCAACAGCGTCGGATCAATATCCACCATCAACCTCTATATCAAGAAGATCCTCTGGATTAGGTCCCTACCAACAGACCATCTCACTCTCACACCGGTCTTCAATTTCAGACCAGTTTTCCCAGACCAACTCTCCATCCAGAAGGTCCTCTGGACCGGATCAGATCCCACAGACCGCTGTCCTATCACGCCACTCTTCAGGGTCAGACCAGAGTCCACAGGCTGCCTTCCAGTCTCGCCGTTCCTCCTGGTCTGAACAACATCCAAACATGAAATCCATAACCCGGTGTTCCTCCTGGTCGGGACAATCTACACAGGTTACATCTCGCCTACGTCGTGGCTCCTGCTCGGATATCTCCAGCAGGCAACAGGACATCGCTCGGGACGCCAATAAAAGGGTGTCCACGACCTCTAAGGACGGTGCAGTTAACCCCAGTAAGCCACTCAAAGAAACACTGACTCCTTTTGACCGTCTGTGGCGGCCCATGTACGCTGTCGATGTCTTCCACTTGATCCCAACGCTAATTAACTGCTTTGTTTACGACGACTCAGGTTGAAATACCTTGAACACAGTAAAATCTATGGACCTGGACTGTTAGGAAACTGATATATATCGCACCAACAGACCATTTTTTTAGTATCTAAGACACTGTTGTCGGATATATTTACGATATATATGCAAAGTATACGAGCAAAAATGGATAATTAAAATGCAATGACCACTTGTCAATGCTCAGTAATAACCCACATGGATAAACATATAAGATTCATTGATCGATATCTTTCGACCCCTTTCTGGGGTTCTCTTCATCTGCTGAAGAGGACCCCAGAAGGAGGTCGAAATATATAGATCAGTTTCCTGTATTTCTGTCTCCTTGTGGGTTATTATTGACCACCGGGAAAAAATTATTAGAGTGCCGTGGCTGGATTATCATTATCATGGTTTTGGAAGGTATTTAGGGTTGATTCAGGGGACTGGAGCACAGATACAATTCCCTAGATCAAGAGCCCTTCACCAGCGTCGAGGACCCTCCCTTGAGGGGCCCTAGATCAAGAGCCCCTCACCAGCATCAAGGACCCTCCCTTGAGGGGCCCTAGATAAAGAGTCCCTCACCAGCGTCGAGGACCCTCCCTTGAGGGGCGCCTTGATCAAAAGCCCCTCAGCAGCATCAAGGGCCCTCCCTGAAGGGACCCTAGACCAAGAGCCCCTGACCAGCATCAAAGTCCCTCCCTGAAGGAACCTTAGACTAAGAGCCCCTTGCCAGTAACACGGGCCCTCCCTAAGGGGGCCCTGGCTGGAACACTACACAACCACTAACTGAAGATTCCAGTAACGTGTCCCCCCTCCCCCCCACCATCAAGCCACGAGAGATATTTCGCTCTTAACCAATATAATTATGGCCTAAGGCCTAAAAACTACTCTGAGGGAGCCATTAAGCCTACACATCACCTGTCAGGAACACTCTTAATACCTGGACTACCTGGACAGAGTTCCGGGGGTCAACGCCCCCTCGGCCCGGTGTCTACACAATATATACACTGGAATATACACACCTCACAATGTATATACCCTGTCTTGAATTGTCCAGAGAAAATAGCATTATATAAACCTTTCAAAATATAAATTAAACCCCTCAGATATGACACTAAACACAGTTTAGTGTTTTATTTGCTGGTAAATTTATTGGTATAAATAAAAATCTCGTCTTAATGGAGATAGAAAATAGAAATTGATTTAATATTGATTTATTAGGGAAAATTGATAGAAGATAAAGTTAGAAAATCCGCCTATAAAAGAGAAAAAAAAAATTCTCAGGAAATTGACCTGTTAATAATTTGTATAATATTAATATGTGTATTTAAATGGTAGTTGTGTTGTACCTTCGTGTAGGGGACCCTCCAGGCTATTGCTACTGGTGGCCTGCATGTTATGTAGCAGCGTATGCTTGTGTTATGTGCCAGGGTAATTATGTACCTCAAGGTGATCATGTAACATTACCTGGTGTAGGACTTAGGTGTTAGACATGATGTGGAGTTTACCTGGAGAGAATTTCGGGGGTCAAATGCCCGGGGGCCTCCAGCGCCTGGTGGCTGCAACGCGTGCTGTGTTCTGCAGATAGACCAAGTGACCACCGGTGTAGACTAGTGTTAACAGTGAGTATGGGATTCAGCGGCGCGTGATCAGGCTGGACAGGCTGTACCATTGCTGCTGGCTGCACGCAAACCAACGTACGAGCCACAGCCCGGCTGATCAGGAACTGACTTTAGGTGCTTATTTTCACAAGAACAGTAGATATGTGAAGACGATGTTATCAGTCTTGTGGGGGGTCAGTCCCTCAGCCTGGAGAACAGTTATGTTCCATAGTCTGGAACAGTGTTCCAGACTATGGAACAGTGTTCCAGACTATGGAAGAGTGTTCCAGACTATGGAACAGTGTTCCAGACTATGGAACAGTGTTCAAGACTATGGAACAGTGTTCCAGACTATGGAACAATGTTCCAGACTATGGAACAGAGTTCCAGACTATGGAACAATGTTCAAGACTATGGAACAATGTTCAAGACTATGGAACAGTGTTCCAGACTATGGAACAGAGTTCCAGACTATGGAACAATGTTCAAGACTATGGAACAGTGTTCCAGACTACGTAACAGTGTTCCAGACTATGGAACAATGTTCAAGACTATGGAACAGTGTTCCAGACTATGGAACAGTGTTCCAGACTATGGAACAATGTTCAAGACCATGGAACAGTGTTCCAGACTATGGAACAGTGTTCCAGACTATGGAACAATGTTCAAGACTATGGAACAGTGTTCCAGACTATGGAACAGTGTTCCAGACTATGAGACAGTGTTCCAGACTATGGAACAATGTTCCAGACTATGTAACAGTGTTCCAGACTATGGAAGAGTGTTCCAGACTATGAAACAGTGTTCCAGACTATGGAACAATGTTCCAGACTATGTAACAGTGTTCCAGACTATGGAAGAGTGTTCCAGACTATGGAAGAGTGTTCCAGACTATGGAACAGTGTTCCAGACTATGGAACAGTGTTCCAGACTATGGAACAGTGTTCCGGACTATGGAACAATGTTTCAGACTATGGAACAGTGTTCCAGACTATGGAACAGTGTTCCAGACTATGGAACAATGTTCAAGACCATGGAACAGTGTTCCAGACTATGGAACAGTGTTCCAGACTATGGAACAGTGTTCCAGACTATGGAACAGTGTTCCAGACTATGGAACAATGTTTCAGACTATGTAACAGTGTTCCAGACTATGGAACAGTGTTCCAGTCTATGGAACAGTGTTCCAGACTATGGAACAATATTCCAGACTATGGAACAGTGTTCCAGACTATGGAACAATGTTCCAGGCTATGGAACAATGTTCCAGACTATGGAACAGTGTTCCAGACTATGGAAGAGAGTTCCAGACTATGGAACAGTGTTCCAGATTATGGAACAGTGTTCCAGACTATGGAACAGTGTTCCAGACTATGGAACAATGTTCCAGACTATAGAACAGAGTTCCAGACTATGGAGCAATGTTCCAGACTATGGAACAGTGTTCCAGACTATGGAGCAATGTTCCAGACTATGGAACAGTGTTCCAGACTATGGAACAATGTTCCAGACTATGGAACAGTGTTCCAGACTATGGAGCAATGTTCCAGACTATGGAACAGTGTTCCAGACTATGGAAGAGTGTTCCAGACTATGGAACAGTGTTCCAGATTATGGAACAATGTTCCAGACTATGGAGCAATGTTCCAGACTATGGAACAGTGTTCCAGACTATGGAAGAGTGTTCCAGACTATGGAACAGTGTTCCAGATTATGGAACAATGTTCCAGACTATGTAACAGTGTTCCAGACTATGGAACAATCTTCCAGACTATGGAACAGTGTTCCAGCCTATGGAACAGTGTTCCAGTCTATGGAACAGTGTTCCAGACTATGGAACAATATTCCAGACTATGGAACAGTGTTCCAGACTATGGAACAATGTTCCAGACTATGGAACAGTGTTCCAGACTATGGAAGAGAGTTCCAAATTATGGAACAGTGTTCCAGATTATGGAACAGTGTTCCAGACTATGGAACAGTGTTCCAGACTATGGAGCAATGTTCCAGACTATGGAACAGTGTTCCAGACTATGGAACAATGTTCCAGACTATGGAACAGTGTTCCAGACTATGGAACAATATTCCAGACTATGGAACAATGTTCCAGACTATGGAACAATGTTCCAGACTATGGAACAGTGTTCCAGACTATGGAAGAGAGTTCCAGACTATGGAACAATGTTCAAGACTATGGAA